ATGAATGAAATTGGTCTAGACTTTGTTTAAACTTATAACCTAATATACTGATTTCCGCTCCTCTGGTACAACAGAAACCTCATATACCCCACATATTAAATCTGACCCTTTGGTTCAGTTTATATCACATATACCATGTTTGAATTAAATAGCTTCTTTTTATAAAGTTAACATTTCGGAGAAAAAATAGTATTGACACAAATAATCTATGATCAATACATAAGTTAATAAGATACCATAATAATCGAGTAATGAATGTTGAATTTTTCGCAACATTTTTATACTTTCGCAACATGTTGCAACAGAGTATAGTTTTGTTCACCAAAGAGTTGTTTGCATCACCTAAGTGATAGATATAGATTTCTATATACATATATTTCTTCTAATATTTGGTGATAATCAGTGGTTAGGTATATTTTCTCAGCCATCATGTTGAACTTATTATAAAATATACCAGGCAACAATGCTAAAATAGTTTCTTAGAGTGCTGGACTTTGTATAGAGCAAAAAATCTTTCTAAAAAAATTGCATGAAATAAATATTAGCAACGTAGGGGTAAAGACCCTTTTTATGTGGTTATGATAAACTGCGACTCCATCGGTTTACTGCTACTGTCTATTATTTCAGTTTTGCGAACTTTTAATATGAAGGTCATGAGGTGAACTGTAAACTCAGAAATTACATTTTTACCTAGCGGCGTTGGCAGCTTATGAAAGGTTTGGATATTAAGACAGAAAGAGAAAATCTACTATATAATACTACTAATTTCTAAATATAAATAACTAAATATTATGTATTATTATGTTAGTGAATAGCTAAGTAATTTATGATATACAAAGTAGTAACGCTGTACCACATGTTGCAAGAGTATAATAAATATCAGTACACTGTGTTTTAGTTTCAGTTTCACTAGATGTTCTTACCAGCAAAGTGCTTTATTCACTAATTTTAGTGTATAGTTTATAGTGTTTAAAGTATTATTATATACAGTGACCAAAACGCGTATTATATACAGTGCGAGCAAACCGCATATACATATGTGCACCAGTATACCATAGTACTATACCGGAACAGGAAAGGAGTCATTAGCAAGGACTTACAAGGAATTACAGTGAAAGAGAGCACCTAGGATCCACTTTTAACACCCGGACGGACTGAATTATATAAGTTATTATCTATATAGTATTTTATATATTAATCCATTATTATTAATTATTTATACTAGATTAAGTAGAATCTATATTACTAAGTCGTCTTCAGAATAGAAGACGTATGAGAGTTCTTCGTGCAAATTCTTTATATAGAGATAGTCACAAAATGCTATAAGTCACGCTAATCGTAGATTAGATTCCGATGTACGTCTGTCCGAACAATTATCAATACAAATCACATAGAACCAATCGGGAAATCTCGAGCTACGGTCTTTTGAACAAAATTTAATACTGTTCAACATAGAAAGGCGGCAAAATCCGCAAATTCGCTCTGAAGAGCAAGTAAGAGATACTCGAGGTCATGGGTCTCGGCGTGAAGCCCCGAGGTTCGATCTGTTTAGCAAGTTGCAAATACTCTTCTACATAGAACAAGGCGGCAAGATCCCCAAATTCGCTCCGAAGAGCAATAAGATATACTCGAGCATAGATCTCGGCGTGAAGACCCGAGGTCGATCTGTTAGGCAAATTGCAAAAACTGTTCAACAAAGAACAAGGCGGCAGGATCCACAAATTCGCTCTGAAGAGCAAATAAGAAATCGAGGTCATAGTCTCGTCGCGAAGACCTCGAGGTTCGATCGGTTAGTAAGTTGCAAATACTGTTCTACATAGAACAAGGCGGCAAGATCCCCAAATTCGCTCTGAAGAGCAAATAAGAGATACTCGAGGTCAAAGGTCTCGGCGTGAAGACCCGAGGTTCGATCTTTTGAGCAAGTTTTAAATACTGTTCAACATAGAACAAGCGGCAAGATCCCAAATTCGCTCTGAAGAGCAAATAAGAGATACTCGAGGTCAAAGGTCTCGGCGTGAAGACCCGAGTTCGATCTTTTGAACCAAAATTTAAAATACTGTTCAACATAGAACAGGCGGGCAAGACTCGCAAATTCGCTCGTGAAATTCATATGCAGCGATATACATTATTTTTAAGAAAAACTGTCCATTTAATTTCTTTAAATTATCAACTGGACGAAAAAATTATACCATAAGTAGTACATGTGAGCTGGGAAAATCAAAGACCAGAAAATTCCTCCAAACCGTATATTAAAAAATGTTGAATTAAACATCCATTATTAAATGATATCGTTATTAAATTACAATCAAATTTTGTATCTTCTTGACTTATATTAAAGGCCATTAACTTAGTCTCAGTTTTATTGCTTGAAGTGAAATATACATAAGTATGAATGTGATATTAACTCCATCAAAGTGGCTAAATTTGCGAGAGTATAAAAATATAGAATGATTTAACTTACAAACCTCATTCAAAATATTAAATGTTTCATATCATCGTTTAACAACTTTGTAATTCAATTATTTGTTACATACTTTATATATATTTAATTAATAACACATACAATTTTATATATTATGGTAATTTTTGTTTGATATCACATCTTCAAAAATGTGTATCAATTATTTCCAAATTTAGACACTACTTGTAGTTTATTTTTTATTTAGTCACGTTAACGCGTGGCTAAGTCTTCTAAATATTTGATATATTTTTTCACAGAGTGCGTATGTTGCCGCGATACAACGATCGATCTCGGTCACCAGTTTTCGGCCGAGTAATTAGCAGAGAACCCATTATTCCCCCACGTGTAAATATTGGTCATTATCAACGACATTACGGTGTTGACGGAAGTAATTTCGGCGGTTCATCTTCCCGCATCTACGGAGCTGAAACAAAAGGAACACCCTCTTATCAAGGTGGTGGTGGTAGCTCTCGTCGTCCGTCAAAATATCGTCATGTGGGTTCTAACAATGCAGCTAGTGGGGGTAATGGTGGAAGCTCGAACTCTGTGAATGTGCAAGGAAGCTTCCAACGTTTGAAAGAACTGATTTGGACGGAGCGCGCCAAGGAGCTGACGCAACAGCGCAGGGCAGAAGAGCTGGCCGCACGTGCTGCCGTTCTTAAAGAGATCACCAATGGTCAAAAGCAAGTATTCTTTACAGTTACATACATTTTAAATTTTATTTAGATCATTAAAAATGTATATATAGAAATTTTAAAAAATGTTACCTTTGTCTTCCCATTTTCGACGAATGGTTCGAGCATTTTGACTGGTAATTGTAACCTGAATCGAAGCGCGATTGTCCGCATAGACTTTAGACTTTACATAACCCCACAGGAAAAGTCTAACGGTGTGAAATTACACGATCTTGGTGGTCAATCGCCTGCCCCAAAACGTGAAAGTATATGCTCACCGAAATTATCTCTCAATTAATCCATTGATTGATGCGATGTGTGGGAAGTGGTGACGTCTTGTTGAAACCAAATGTCGCCGAGATCAGATCGGTTATCATGGCGCGATAAAGGTCGCCATTGATTGTTACGTTCTCACCGACATCATTTTTGAAAAAATGTAGACCGAATTCACCAAACTGTGGTGAAAATTACAGCTCTTGAATCTCTTCAGGTTTCTCTATGTTCCAAATGTGGCAATCTTGCTTGTTTACATACCTATTGAGCCAGAAATGTGCCTCATCGCTGAACAAAATTTGGCTCGAAAACGTCGGATCTTCTTTGAACTTTTTAAGAGCCCATAGAGTGAAGCGATGTCTTTTGGGAAGGTCGAACGGCTTCAGTTCTTGCACAAGCTGTATTTTGTACGCTTTCAATATAAGTCCTGATATTAGTTATATGGGGTCTAAGGAAATTTTGCACCCAATCCTTTTCATTTTAGGCACAAAGATGCACCGTTATTAGAAAAATAAGCTCTCTCAATTGTATTAAGATAAATCACATATTCGCCGATATATGCAGAATAAAGTCAGCTAGTTTTTCGATAATCATTCTATTTGATATACAGAGGCTTAAGAAATTATAGATCCTATTCAACTTGTTTTTGACAAATGTTCCGTATAAGAACTGGGGTCTACACATTCGGTATCTGGGGACTTGAATAGTTTGGATTTGATTTGAAACTCAGAGAGCATCTTTTTCTGTTAATAATATGTAGTAATGCCAAAAACAGATAAAATCGGGTCAATGCTACCCTTATCTCCCATATACCTAATATAGAATTTTCAAACTTCCTGTTGGCTTGCTTACTGCAGGGTTCCACCAAATGTGCTGCCCATTTGTTTGAGCATTTGGTATAGTTTATTCAATTAGCTACTTTCCAACGCTTGGCGAATCAAAGACAGATATTAATTTATTAACTCTAAGAGGAAAATACATTTTTTGTTTTTGTACAGTTGAAAATTTTGTGCAAATTATTTCCAGTTAGTGAACAAAAGTTGAAATCAAATTATTATTAACATTTTCACAGAAAATGAGATGTCAGTCTAAACCTAAATGTTTGTTGAAAAAATGCAGATGTAAATGTAAACATAACGTTGTCGTTGAAAACTTCAATTGCCATTTGATTAAGACATTAAATTTTATTAAATATTAAAAGTTTATGTACTGAAATATTAATTTTTATTTTTTAACCTTTTTTCTATTTAGTATTCAATCCTCGTACAAACATTCCTCAAAATCGGAATCCCCTTTAATGGATGAGAATCGTAGCCCTGATCGAGATATATATCAGCATTTGAATGATGATCGCATGTCTATTGCCACTGGCCAAGCGCGCTATATTGAGAACAATTACGGTAGTAAGAAAAACGGGAATATATATTTAAGAAACAGTAGCAACAATGACAATAATAAGCGTAAAAACGCCAAAACTAATTATAAAGGAAATAGTAGAATAGCCAACAGTAAGGATGGAGTTAAAGAGGTTGGACTTTATGTGGCAGCAACAGGCGCAGGAACTTCTGCTGTGCGTAGCTCTATGATAACAAATAAAAATCGAAACATCAAAAATAATGATAAACCAAGATCTTTGTTAGTAGTGCCAAATGGCACCAGCGGATCCCTTGCAACCTTTGCGCATAGCAGCAGTTACTTCGACGACGACCAAAGTATCGGTATACCAAGAACATATCCAATGCGTCCATCACATTTTCGTGAACGAAATCGAGCATTATTTAGAGAGGTGAGTATTTTTTATTTTTTCGAGGTAAATGTTATGGCAGCAGTAAATGGTAAAACTTGTATGGAAAACTATTTTATTTGACCAGATATCTTTACCACATTTGGCCCAGATTATTATTCAAGATATCGGTATAAGCTTCGAAGAAATTATTGTCATCGGACAACTATAGCGTACAGCTCTCATACAAACTGATCGGTCATTGTATGGAAATATGGAAATAATTTTATTTGGCAAGGTGTTTTCACAAAATTTGGCATACATTTTTATCCAAATCATCTCCACAATCTCCGAACAAATTGTGCAAATCGGTGCAGCAGAAGTTAACGTTTTTTCTTGCATTTTATATAATTCAGTCACTAATCAAGTCATGGTCTTACACTAATTGCACTATCTATGTTAGAACATTTAACACTTAGTTGTTGACCTCATGTTCAGTTTCGAAAACGTATAAATGAATAATTCACGTTTGTAGAAATTTCGTTTCAGCACAGACGCGAGTATTTGAAATAAATATCGGCTTACCTACTAAACACATATTGATATTATTTATATCATTTTTAAAGCTTCAACTACTATTTATTCAATTAGTACTATTCTTTTTATACTCTCGCAACTTGTTGCTACAGAGTATAATAGGTTTGTTCACCTAACGGTTGTTTGTATCACCTAAAACTAATCGAGCTAGATATAGAGTTATGTATATATAAATGTTCAGGATGAAGAGACGAGTTGAAATCCGGGTGACTGTCTGTTCGTCCGTCCGTCTGTCCGTCTATCCGTCTGTGCAAGCTGTAACTTGAGTAAAAATTGAGATATCTTTATGAAACTTGGTACACATGTTTCTTGGTACCGTAAGACGGTTGGTATTGCAGATGGGCGTAATCGGTCCACTTCCACGCCCACAAAACGCCATTGATCAAAAACAAATAAATTGCAATAACTAAGCTCCGCAATAAGATACAAGACTGTTATTTGGTACACAGGATCACATTAAGAAGGGGCATATGTAGTTAAAATTTGTTTTTAAAGTGGGCGTGGTACCGTCCCTAATAGGTTTACTGTGCATATCTCCTAAGCTGCTAAAGCTATAATAACAAAATTCACTGGAAGCAAATTTTTTTAGCACTTCTATCGAACTGTGAAAATGGGTGAAATCGGGTGACAACCCCGCCCACTCCTTATATAACAGTACTGTTAAAAAATACTAAAAGTGCGATAAACCAAGCACTAAACAAGTCAGAGACATTAAATTATATCTCTAGGATGGTATAAGATGGCTTTATAGGAACCGCGTTCAAAATTGGTCAATGGGCGTGGCACCGCCCACTTCTAGGTGAAAACCCATATCTTGGGATCTGCTCAACCGATTTCAACCAAATTCAGTACATGACACTATTTTCATATCTCTATGTTATAGTGGGAAAATGGGTGAAATCGGATTACAACCACGCCTATTTCCTATATAACACCATTTTAAATTATATTTGATTCTTTCCCTTTCCAGTATGCAAATCAAGCTACAATGATTGTATCGGGGTAAAACTTTGCGTGAATAATACGTTTCAAGTATGCCATCTTGTGACCAAAAATTATCTAAATTGAACCCAAACTGTTCAAGCCCCTAGGTACTGAATATGTGAACCCCAGTGCCTATAGTTGACTTTTTACCGAAAATATCGGTCAACATAGAACAAGGCGGCAAGATCCACAAAGAAATCTTAAACGAGTATACCATTTGACTTTGCGAGAGTATAAAATGTTCGGTTACATCCGAACTTAGCACTTTCTTGCTTGTTATTATTCTATTTATTCAATAAGTATTTCGTTTTAGTATACTTGTATGTAAGTATAAGTACCTACATCATTAGTGGCTAACGCACCAAACATTAGTGGCTAACATCCCGATGTTGGGAGTATGAAAATAGAAATAGACTTTTAATTTTTAATCTTAAACAGTTTGGATGAAAATTGAAAATTTTTATTATTTTATATGAATGTGTAGGTTTGCCGACCAGTCTTTTAGAGCAGTGAGCGGCAGTCCATTGCACGTGGGCATTCTCTGAGTATGCTTTGAGGATACGTGTGGTCCACAGTCTTGCGACAGTTATTATACTGTTGAAATTAGGGATAAAGGGATGTCCAACTTATTCCAATATAATTATTCTATATTGGACTTTTAATATATGGATAAACTATTTAAATCCTTTTTTGTAATTTTATGGTATATTAAACCAACTGACTTTTGAACTTTGAATACTTATTAAGTTAACTAAAGTATTTGCTTTGAATTAATACAAGTTTTTTTTATCAATTTGTATCGAAAATTGATACTAAGAGGCATGACGTCTCAAAATATTTCATCACATAAATTTTAATTTCGCGTTTTCTTTAAGTTTCATTGTTTTCCAATTTTTGTTAGTGATCTTCAACAGCGGCAATAAATCTCTCTGTTCACATATTTTTTGGTAGGATTGCAATCAGTCCATCTTTTCCTATTGCTAAACATCAAAACCTACTGAACTCAGGTGTGTAGTGTGTCCATTCCACACTACCAATCGGTACTGAAAAATGCCTGTCATTTTCGGGGCGCTGATCAACGCATTGTATTGATACGCCGTGTTTTTGAGCACCGTGAGGTAAGGCCGTCGACAGCAGGTACTCACGTTAAACACATCGGACGTTGAACTCAGTCAAATGTCAAAGCATCTCTGGCAGTGATAAGTGCCAAACTTATTCCAGTGTGAGAGCAGCTCAAAATTTGCGTTTTTTATAACATGTTCCATTATAGCCAGACCGGACAAAATAATAATTTTTGGGAATTTGAATTAAAATACCCAACATTTATTAAGATTAAATATTATTATACATGTATCCGTTAAACATATGCAGAAGCTAACTAAACCTTTTTTTGTGATTTTGAAATATATTAAAACAATTGATTTTTCAATATTTAATCAAAAGAATAAATGTATTAGCTCTCAATTATAAACATGTTTTTTATAATTTTCAATTTAAAATTAATACTACTAAGCATGGCACTGCAAAAGATTTCATCACATACATTTCAATTTCGTGTTTTCTCTCATTTTCATTGTTTTCCAATTTTTGTTAGTGATCTTCAAACTCAGCAACAAATATCTCTATTCACATATTTTTCTATAGGAATGCTATCTGGTCGTCTCTCATTTCCCAATTGCTAAACGTCAGACCTGCTGAACTTTGACAGTTGCCTGAATTCAGGAGGTTTTGACGTTTAGCAACTACGCTCTCATTTCCAGTGTAAACAGTAATAAACTTTAGGTACTCAACTCTAGAAAATTGCAGGGTATTGTGTAAAACGTTTTTTGCTACTTTTATGGCAATTAGGGTGTCGTGCTAGTATTTAAAGTACTTAAATATTTTTAAACTTTACTAAATATTATGTAATGCAAATTTTTACGTTATTAAGATATTATTTTGAATTATTTTGCTTATTTGTGTATATAATATAATATGTTTCAATTTAATTCTTTTATTCCACAAAATCATTAGTACTAAATAAAATGGAAATTTTTTTGCAGGTTTTTTTTCACGGTTCTTAATTCCTATAAAAATACTGGAAACCGTGGCGGCAAAAATTCTGAATTCCCCTGCACGTATGAATAACTGATCATATGTGCAACTGGCATTTCAGAACAAGAACAAGAAATTTTTATCTTATTGTAAATATTTCCGAAACATTCCTTCTATCGCATCACCGAATTAAAGTGTAAAAAATTTAATCATTTATATTTAATTATAAATTAAAGAGGATTTTAAGGCTACCATGTTATACATAATCCTTATTTCGCTATATTAAATGAAATTTTGTAGTTTTATGAAAATTATTGGTAAGTCTAGTAAAGGCATAAGCCATCGATAGTAGAAATTAACTATCGGTAGTGAGACAAATATAAAACAATCAATACTATCGCTAGTCCCATCAATTGTTTTACAGCTCTACTACGCAGCGAGCAAGACATGCGAGGAATGCATATACACTCGCCCGAAAAATTATCCGTACACCTCGACAGGAAAACAATAAACTGAGAAATTTGTGATCAAATAACTTATTATGTATAAAAATAGTATCCAAAAGTTTTATTCAGTATTTTTACTACACTTTCCATGAGTTTTTTTTTTAGACATACACTTTAAAAAAAATTTCACAGAAAAAACAAAAAAGCTCCATAATGAACAGAAAAAGTATTCGTACATTTTGATTATAATTAAATATAATTAAATTATTTTGGAAAAATTTAATATCCTAATAACTAGTAGGATAGCTTACGTTTAGGACCTCGGCAAGTCGATGTGGCATTGAATGAACTAGTTTGGATGTGTCATGATTTGTAATTTTCGCTCATTCATTATGATCACATTTTTGAGCATTTCTCTGGAGGTTATGTGTGTTGGCGGATTCTGCACTCCAGTAAATCCCACAATGCTCGATGGGGTTGAGGTCTGGAGATGTGAGTGGCTAGCGCAATTGATTTTTATGTTATAAAGCTACCAAAGCCTGGTATTGTGCGCCGTGTGCTTGGATCATTATCCTGTAATAATAATAATAATAAACCCAACGATTACCATCCTCCCGCCCAACCGACGCGAGGGCGCAATCCGCATACGTGCGGAATTAGCCGAGTCAGAAAAGGCACGAGAGTTTTTTAAGTGTTGAGATCTAAAACTGCTCAGCTACAGAAACAAATTTCAACAGCTAAGATCTAAAGTTACAATATAATAAATTCTTACATTTCATTTATTAAGAGAAAACAATAAAGTCTTTTTAATTTTGAAAAGTGAGTCAGATAAGTCAAATGTGCTGGAATGAGAATTAAAATCATGACATATACGGCGGAATGGCTCGTTTAGTTCAAAATTTGATCTACAGGATTTTAGCAGTAAAGGTCTAAACTGCCTCGAAAGGCGAACCGGGAATATTAAATTTAATTTCAGACAGGAGAAAAGAACTGCAAACAGTTCCATTCAAAAGTTTCACTAAGAAATATTATGCCAAGCATTTCCTACGACTAGAGAGTGTAGGTAGATTAATAAGTTTTAAACGACTAGTGTATGGA